CACTTAACCGACTGAGCCACCCAGGTGCTCCATTTCCAGATATTTCTTCATTCTTTTACCAAATCACCAATAATTTTTCTGTGGTCCCTAATATAAATTTAAAAAGTTATCCTAACCAATCCTTAAAAAGTTAAAAATAGAACTACCATATGATCCAGCAAGTCTACTTCTAGGAATATATTCACAGGAAATGAAAACAGTAACTCAAAAAGACATCTGCACCCCCATGTTTATGGCAACATTATTTACAACAGCTATGACATGGAAGTAACCTAAGTGTCCATCAGTGGGTGAATGGATAAAGAGGTTGTGGCATATATATATACACACACACACACACACACACACACATATATATACATACACACACACACACACACAAAGGAATATTATTTGGCCACAAAAAGACGAAATCCTACCATTTGCAACAACATGGAGGGCTTGAAGGCATTATGCTAAATGAAATAAGTCAGACAGAAAAGGACAAATACTGTATGAACTCACTTATATGTGGAATCTAAAACACAAACAAACAAGCAAACACAAATTCATAGAGAAAGAAATCAGCTTTGTGGTTAGCAGAGATGGAGGGCAGAGGGAGGGGGTACTGGAGGAAGGTGGATAAAAGGTATAAACTTCCAGTATTAAGGTAAATAAGTACTAGGGATGTAATGTACAACATAATGACTATGGTTAACACTGCTGTATGGTATATTTGAAAGTTGTTAAGAAAATAGATCCTAAAAGTTCTCATCATAAGGAGAACATTTTTTTTTCATTTTTTCTTTTCTTCATTTTTTTTTGTATTTATATGAAAAAAATGTTTGTTAGCTGAACCTACTGGGGTAATTACTTCACAATATATGTAAATCAAACCATTATGCTATATACCTTAAACTCACACAGTGATGTATGTCAGTTATTTCTCAATAAAACTGTAAAACAAAGTTAAAAAATATTATCCTGATAGCTGGTACTGTAGAGCTGACTCTAAAACTTCACCTTATAAGGTAAACATACCACCTCAATAAGTAAGTAATGTAATATTTTTCTTATTTAACTAGAAAAACAATCAATTCTTTAAGTGCTGTCCTAAGTACTTTCTCAGCATATTTCCTGTAAAGACAAGTAAGCTTAAAAGGAGCTTAGCTATTTGAAGGGCAGCTCTTTGGAGGCAATGCCCCTTCCATTTTAATCACAGAATTTCCAGTGCCCAGAACAGTGCTTGGCACTTGGTAGGGTCCGACTGATACTTCTTTTACCCAAACAAAGTAAAATGGACATTTAGATTAATAAGGAAAAGCAACGTTCTTGCTGATGTCAAAGAGGTAAGAGAAGATTCCCGAGGTGGCAAGAGTTGAATTTTCATTATTACTAAGCCTCTCCACATTAGCACTTTTGAAAACAAATTCCTGACAGACGTTTTATTTTGTCAACCACATATCCTAAATTACAGCGAGGGGCACAGGCTTAGCTACCTTGGGCAAGAGGGCAGAAGGAGTAGGAAGAGAAGATGAAGAAACTGCTGATAGCTGTGTGAAGAGATGGGCACAGGCTCTCGGTGAGGATGGAATGAAGAGGACACAGATGACGTGCTATCATCTAAAAAGTGCTTCGAGCCCAAACTATTAACTAATTATCTCATCTAGTAAACACTTAATTACCTCAGTTAGGGGTTAGAAGGTAACCTTGGAAAACTAAATTTGGAGGAAGACTACATCTGCCTTAACAAATAGGATTTATGTACAGGTGTTCTATAAAGGTCTGATGAATCCAAACCATTAAGTTGAGCTCTATCGAAGTAAGACCTCTGACTAAACAGGGACACTACTGACTAATTTGAAGAGAGAAAATGTGGTGTTCGAGGAGAAACATGAGGTAAAAATGGAAGGATTTTTCTGAGGCATTAATGGCATAAAGCAAAAAAAAAAAAGAAAAAAAGTAAAAGAATTCTGTTTAATGATGACAAAGAAAGATACTTGGCAGAGCTGCTCCACCAGACCCCTTGTGAGTCTGGAATGCTGAGAGGTCAGCTTTGAGTGCTGGTTGGAAATGGATATTTTATGTGTGATGTGATCACTTAAATCTTTAGCTCAACAGAGTCTTTACTTTGACAACTGAATCTGATCAAGCAGGTCCTTTGAGGAAAATGTATTTTTATAAAACTATTTTAATTCTGTCCATGGAAACTTGGCAATTAGTTCACAGGAAGCAAAACAAGTTTACCTATGATTCCAAAATGCTAAATATGACTAGAGTAGAAATAGTCCTGGCTTCCACTGTTTTAATCATGCTGTCTACTACTATTCATGATCAATGAGAATGTCAGGAGCCTTGGCCCCATCCACCCCTGTGGCTCATGGAGACTGACTCCTCTGTCATAGATTTGGGATTTTGAAATCAAATGCATTTTCGTTCTTTGCCTCCATTCATATTCTTTGCACGAAGAAACTGATTATCTCTGAGGCATTCAATCTGTTGCTGGGGTCCCCGGTAATGCTGACATTTTGTTATGCTACCTTCAGAAGGCACAAAGCAATTTTTGTGCTAGCATATAAATGACATTTCCAAACATCAGAGGAGTGCCTGAAAACATGCACAGTTAGCTACCCATTGATTAGGGCAGAAGTACAGATACTATGAACTGTGTCACTCTGTGTATGTCCCAGAGGCAGAGAACGGGAAATTTCATCATCTTGGTCCTTACAGATTACCACCTGCAGTAGTTGAAATGAGCTTTTGTGAAGTGTGGACCCAGACTCCATCTGTCAGATGGAGAACTCAGCTTTGTATCATGTAATAAGACAAGATGCATGTGAAGAAATCTAGGTGGAAACTTATTTTACTGTCAAAGCTAACACAACATGAGAACACAGCAAATTCTCAGGACATGCACATTATGAGTCAATGTGCATTTTGATAAGGTTAACTTTACCATATCAATAGCATGCAAATTATAGAGGACATATTGTAAGTAGAAAGCATAGGGCTTTTTTGGGGTTTTTTGGCTTTGGAAAAAAATAGCACGTTAAACAACAAAACGCTCAATATAGTGTATTTAAAAATATAGAGCACACCACCTGACAAGATGAAAACCATCACAACAGAGCTCTGCATCACCACAGTAACTTACTGGATGACAAAAATCTCCTTGCGTCTAAAGAAAAATGAAGAATATCTGGAAGTAAAGATTCATTATTTATTTAGTACACAAACACACTGGATTATTTTTTGCTACTACAAGAACATGAGCATTAAATATCTTGAGCTTCATCCTACTTCAGGACACTTGTCTGGAATTCACATATTTGTCAGACATTTCTTATCAGGATTCATGTATTTTTGCCATTGTTTGCAAAATGGTTTAAGAGAGAAGTAAAATCCATGGCTAGAACCTGTCAAAGAATTGATGGCGATTAAAATGCTAATGATTTTACATAGAACTTCATGTATCAAATATTATGTGTTCTTATTGAAGGTACAATAAGACTTGCACTACTAAAGATTTTTCAGTTTCTGAAGTTTGAACCTATAGTAAAATGCCATCACTCCTTTGTCCCATGTCACTAAAGAACAAAGAATTCAAAAAAAGCAGTTCTTCCCTTAGAATCATTTCTCTGCATAGGAAAAGCTGCCTCAAGAAGGATCCCATAGGGTCTTGTCTTTTTAAAAGGGGTTATATTGATCTCATCTAGTAAGCTTCTGAGTTACACACACACACACACACACAGAGAAGTACAGGTGTATCTTATCTCTGAATCCAACGCACGCAGGCTAGCATCATGGCTGTCCTGTTTACTACCACCTTGGACAGTTACTTAAATTCTCTAAGCATCTTTTGTTTTTCAACTGTAAAATGGGGATAAAAATATCTACCACAAAAGGATTGAAAGAGTTAAGTGAGATCATTACACACAGAGTTAACACACAGTAATTGCTCAAAAACAGTAGCAATTATTTATATTAGCAAGCCTTCTATGTGAAAGTAGATTGGGATGATTTTTTAATTTTATAAAGATTGTAAATAACAATAATAATTCCAAATGTAGTATTCTGATTTAAAGTTTACAAGAGCTTCCTGAAGACATGTACATTTAACGAAAATTCAACTTGCACACTTCTAAAGTTATAGAAGAACGAAAGCAATTCAATTGTTTGCTTTCTTGAGGATTTTAATTCCATTCATGATTACTGGATTGGGCCTTGAGTCTAATTAATGCACCATTACATTCATTCAACTAAAATAGGCAAGAGAATTAATATGGAATGATGCACAAAATTTGGGGGGATAATTGAGGTTTGGAAGAAATTGAGGGTGAAGTAAGAAGATTAGTAACATTGATTAATGTTATTCTACTATGTGGTTTTTTTTTTTTTTTTTTTTTCTGATTTAGTCACCCTGGGTGGGGGTGGGGGGTGGGGGAGATTGGAGATGGGGAACCTACTATAACTTAATTAAACCTGGTAAGGAGACAGTAAAAAATAAACATTTTTAGCAAATAGAATATTTAACTTGTGAACCCTCTGTTAGGTTATTTAATTTTAAGTGTTATAACTCTCTTGGGAAGGTAGTTTGTGTGCAGTTAAATTAGTTAAAGCAATCCATAGGGTCAGCTGGTCTCAGCAATCTTGAAGAAACAGGTCTGTTTTACCTGAGTGTTTGCTAATTTTGCCAATATTTCCTCCTGGAAACCTTTCTCACTTCCTTGGGCTAAGTGGTTGTGTTTCAAAGGAGCCATCACAAAATGTTGTTTTGTTCATTTCTTTAAAACCCCAAAGGTCATTTTCTAATCTGGTGAATGTGGAAGAGATGAGCCCAAAATATTAAATACCCTCCCTAAGAAATATATCATGCATTGTCTAAACTTAAATATAAAATGTGCATAAGGAAATGGTATAATTATCATTCCAAATAGGAAATGAAAACATTATCTTGGCCTATCCTGAATGTTCTCATGGAGTTACAGAGTACTCAATCTTTTTTTTTTTTTTTTTTCCAGAGTACTAAATCTTCATTCGAGTTTTGTTCTTCAGGAAGAAAAATTACAATGTGAGAGAATTCTTCTTTAGATCCTTTGTGAAACAAGGTAAAATATAATTAAATAATAAGAGTTTACACACACAAAATTTACAGGATGAATCTTAACACGTAAATAAATATACAGGCACATGTCATAAAATGAATAATTTCTTAACTATAAAATTCCAAGTCCTTGACAGGATTTAGTACAAGCATCATAATAACTTTTGTTAACTAGATAACTCCCTAAAATTAATATTTTAATTATTGATTAAATCTTCTTCTTTTATCATTTCTCTTACGGACATGTCAAGACATACAACACTGAAGAAAACTGCTAGTCCAATATGCATGAAGAAAGTGGGCAGGTTGGAAGGAAAAGAACATGCCTAAGCCTCAGGTAGAAACAGCATATATTAGCTGGGTAGATTTAAAGGAAATCACCTAAGTTCTCTCCGGCAAATAACAAAGACATATGATGTAAGTTATTCAACAATTTAAAAACTAAATCAAACTCCCTGATTCTTTACTCTCAGAATCTACTATCAGTCTCTGGTTCTACTCTCATGCCCTATATGCCTTTTAATAGATTTAGATCTTCCAGCACCTCAAGACAAGTGAAGGGCTTGAGAGCTTCACTGAAGGATGGCCCCTCGTATATGTGCACATGACTAATTATGGATCTGTTAGTTACCATTTCTTCTAGACTTAATTTCCACTGTATTACTGACCTTATTCACATGAAAAACCTTCAATAAATAGTAAATCTGGAGACAGATCTCTGTAGTGAAGAGTTAGTACTCAAACCACTTGATAGTTATTTTAATAAATTTCTGTAATAATCAAGCAAAGCATATTATTATGTGCCACTGGAATTACAAATACGGATGTTTCACAGTCATGAATGCTGGAATCATATCAAAAAGTGAGAAAATAAAAATCATAGAAACTAAAATTTCCAACTTTACTATTATTGGGGGTAATACATACTTATGACCTATGTGCAAAAATAAATATTATTTGAAATATACCTGAAAGACACTTATACATCATTTTACAAATAAATCCACATATACATAAATAAACATGGAAGCAGGAAAAGAAATAATTAGGAATCAAGATTAAATAAGGCAGTCCCTGATTTATAAAAAACCAATAATAAACAATCTATGCAGTCCTTATCCATCTTTTCCATTAGCTGCCATGACAGTCACTGTTAAAAAAAAAATCTTCCAGCTTTTAGATAATGGCTGTGTTCAGAAATGCAGGAAAGGGCAAGCTGTGAAAACACACAGAGCTTAGGGAATCTAACCTCAGCACAGCCTGCCTAGAATGATAACCTCCTTGATAAAGAGCATTTTAATACTGACTGGCTTTTTTCACTTTGTTACGTCTTATCTCTTCCTAAAGATCTACTTACTAAGGACTTCTGGGATATTAATAAAGATTCTTTTAAAAAACTGCCCCTATAAGTGTTTGGACACTTAGAACATTTTAGTATGAACAGATTCAACTAAATCGTTCAAACAACTAAAATTAATTGCACTGAGAGATTTGACGTGTTGTCTCTTGTACTTTTGGGTGTTAGAAGACACTGAGACTCCAGGCCTGTGGAGGTGGTACAAACATTGAGAAAGGGAGTTGAGAGAATACTACAGAAATTCAGTTGGCCCGCAGGGGGAAAGGAGAAGAAACTTCCTTTTACTACACAGGATGACCCTTTTAAGGACCAAGACATAGCCTAATATTGGAATGCTCTATTGCTCCTAAGATGTGGTTAACTCTGGCAGGTTACCCTGCAAATCTATTGCTCTTTCATACATAACATTTCTAATGTGGAAAACTATGTCCTGGATAATAGATAACCTTCTTCCATATGGTCTTTGGAATACTATCCATTTTGTTGTATCCATAGAAACAACCTCTATTAGAATATAAACAAAGGTAAATATCTAAATATAAAGAGTAAGTTTACCTCTTTAACAGAACAAATTTCCTTGTAATTTAGTGATAACACTGAATGACTTTCATTTTGCAGTATTTGGAAGGCCCCTGCTTATCAGATGACACTTCCCTCTGTAACACATATTTGATATTTTTAGGCATGCTGGAAATACTCTTTCAAAGTCAATCTATTAGGTAAAGACCAGCTTTGCTAAATGACAACTATAAACAACCCCCTTTTAAGTTCAAGAACCTTCATGGCGTATTTCCAGAGTTAATAATAGTTTTTTAAAGCCTAGCAGAGTTGTTCATGTACTTTGTAAAAACTGTCATGTGCTTATAAGCATCACAAAATATTGCATCTTATAAGAATCTAAACTTGCTATGATGGCCTGATGACAGTTTTTATTAAGAATTTGATGAATTATCTTAGTAGACAAGTTTTTCAAATGTGTCAACATTGTGAATGATTTATAATGATTTCAAAAGGACTTAAAATATTTACTCTTTAAAATTAAGCACCTTTACTATTTCCAATACATACTGATGCCATGCTTTTCTTCCCAAAGGTAATTGTTTACTTTGTATTTAATTTTTAAATACTAAGCAAGTAAAAAATAAAGTGTTAATACACAAGTTAGATTTTTAATGTAATTTCATACTAAAATAAGGAGCTATGAGGCTTTTATAAAAATGATATAAACAACATCAAGTCGTTACAAATTTAATTAAACTTGTGATTAAAAATATGGACACTTCCAGAAAATCCAATATAAAAGAAATCTATCATATGAAGTGAATTATTAAACATGATTTTAAAGGTTTCATGTGTAAAAATATTTGTCTCAGGAAAAAAAAAAGAGCTTGGTTGAACGTTATAGTCCGAGGTTCATATTGAACCCAAAGCATGAGGAAGATTAAGTGATTCTCCGAGCACCAGTGAGAAGTGTGCAGAAGATGGAGGTCACTCTTTGAAAGAAGATCTCTATGACCTGTGTAAATAGGAGCCCCACAAACACTTCCAACAAGCATAGGTCAGAATAGGGTCATGGCTCCAGGCCCTCTGAACCACTGTTCGCCAAGAGGAGTGTGCTCACCGCGTTAATCTCTCGTCCTTCAGTTCCAGGTCTGCCACAGTGACGAGCTGATCCAGCTTGAATTTAGTGTCAATAATTTCTGCGTCTCGAGGAGAGTATGTGCCACCTTCTTTCTGCTTCTGTCGAATTCTAAAAAAGTGTAGTAAAGCCCAAAAAGGAAATACCATAGAAAGCATATAAAATTAAGTTTCCTTTTGTTTTTAGATATCAGTCAAATAATTTCTTTGTTGGGGTCACATCTCTGAATATGGTGCAAATTTATAGGTACTCAACTTATTTTTCCTGTTTTAATTCCATAAAAGCTAATTCTACTATATTCCTTTAAGATGTTGCTTTGTTGAAGTTTCAAATTTTAATGAGAATCAGTTGATCAAGGCCTGGGCCACTGGCAAACTTAAACTACAGGGCAAATGAAATTGAAGCTGTGAGCTTGTTTTTCCTCCCGATAGCTGTCTCTAGATTTGTCATAAAGAGAAAGTATGCCAAAGTGGAACCAGCTCATTGCTACCAGCACCAGCGGTAAAAGACCATGTTCCATTGTTTTATATACACGAGACATTTCTACATTCATGAAAATGCATAGAAATATGTTTTAAATTGTCTCATAGGCTTTTTATAAAAATATTGTACAGCATATAATGTTATCTTTATTTATATTCAGAAAATTCAAGTTCAAAAATAAAAATCACATGAATCTGAGAATCAAATCCAAGTCCTTTCATTTTTAAGCCATTTACATGATTATTTTTCTATGACACAGTATGGTAATTACAAAGTGATATTAGCTATGCTATCTTTTACATTTCAAACATTTATTATGTAATATGAATTATTAAGGATGGAAAAGAAAGTATAAAATATGGTTCCTATCCAAGAACATTACAGTTTAGTTGAGAAGCAAGATCTAAATGTAGAAAAAGCAATAAAAAGAAAAAAATTCCAAATTCCAATTCATAGGACAACTACTAGTATTGTCAGGAAGTAAAAAAGTGAGATCTGATTTGAGTGTTCCAGAACGAGAAGGAGGAGGAAGCACATTTCTGATTGACCGTATAAAAGCAGAGTTGTAGAAAAGCCTAAGGAACATTCAGGTGAGAAGAGACCCATTTGGCCAAAGAGAAGTATGTTAGGAGGTTGTAGGGAATAAGAGGAGAGAATTTCTTATCCACATCAGGAGTTTATCCTGTAAGGAGATGAAAAGTCAGAAAAGATTTTAGAGCAAGGAACAATATGAATATGGCCAAAGCATGCCCTTCAGGTACAAGGAAGATATCTTAAACAATCTATCCCTAAAAATGCCTAGAATAATGACTTTCTCTCACTATCTCTGGGAGGAATCTGAGAACAGTATGCAGCATAAGAAAAATACTTGTTTCAACAGCTCTTCAAATTATCCATCAAAATGATGATTTAAGAGATTCAAGGTGAAAGAGATGATGCATGGCATACAGAATATGGGACCACCTTCTTCAAATAAAATAAAAACAGCCTACTGAGCTACTTAGGAAATTAGTGTCGTGGTTACCTTTGCAAATATAAGGTCCCTTTAACTCAGAAATCTACTTTATGAAGCCAGATTTTAGGACCACAACTAAGATTTCCCCTGAGACCCTGTAAACAGGAAGGGAATTAGGAGGCTGATACTGGGAATTTAAAGGGACCCTTGGAAAATGAAGTACAGACTTGTTGGTAAAGTAAACAGGAAGAAGGGGCCCACCATGTAAGGAAGTTGGACATCTTCAAAGTGTTGTCCTGATTGTAAAAATGATCTCTTCTGTATAAACTTTAAGATTTAAACCTGATTAAAATATTTTTCATTAAACCTATCAGTTTTAAATTATTTTTTAAAGTGCAGAAATCCGAGAAAACCTTCTGCTTTTGTGTTATCACTTTATTATCTCTCAGTTTTAAACCTGCTCATTGGGGAGGGTATGTGCTATGGTGAGTGCTGTGAATTGTGCAAGACTGTTGAATCATAGATCTGTACCTCTGAAACAAATAATACAATATATGTTAAAAAAAAAAA